GGGTGAGAGTGATCCCGGTACCTCCTGGGGTGGGAGAGGCGCAGTGTGAGAGTTGGAGCAACCTTCTTTTGGGAGAGGAGCGGTATAATTCTGAGTCCTGCTGTCAGCATGCCTTGTGCCGGGAATCTGTTGTTTCTGGGGCCAGCATGTATTGTTGTCAAGTGTGGGACAGTGCGAACTGGAGTCTCGAGGTTGCTGCCAGCCTAGCCCAGTGCTCTGTCTGCCAGAGGCTTACTGCAGGGACATGAGGGGACAGATTGCTGAAGCCCACTGAAGGGTCTTTGTGGAGCTGCTCTCTGCTCAGGCACCTTCCAAAGCAAAAGAATTGGGCTGTTTGTTTTTCAGAAGTTTCTGAGTTCCTGCAACCTCCTCAAGTTGCAGGAATGTAGTTATAAAGTCCTTTGGCAATAATCTGGAAGTGAAACTCAAATGCTTGATTTGAGTCACTTGTATTAGATCCAGTGCTCTGTTCAGCAATTGGCACTTTGGGAAGAGAGACTTTTTCTTGAGGAGAACCTTAATTTTTGCATGGTAATTGTACAACTGCTGTTTTTAAATTCAATTTGTGGTTTTGGACGTTTTATCTCTTGTTTCATTCCTCCTTTTATAAAAGGACAGTATAAATCATGAGAGAAACAAATGCAAAAAATAAGCTTGATTTTACAAGGTAGTTCCTGGGAACAGGTGGAAGGAGTAACTGCATCTGTTCCATGTGCCACAAATTATGAGGGCAAAGGAAGATGCATCTAAGCAGATGTGTGCTTTGTAGCTTTACGGCAACAAGTTTTATTCAATCATCTTGTGTCTCTGTTTTGTTCCCTTCTCTTTCTTTTTTTTGTGGCTATGCATTGACTGGTTTTGGTGTGTGCCTGAGAAGATTAGATGTCCTGGACAGATTGAACTCCCACAGGTTTTATAAACGTAGGCTGTTGTGTAGAAGAGAGCCAGTGGAAAACATGCGATATAATCTCAGTCTATCTTAGATGAGACAGAAAATGTGATGGGTTGGCCAGTGACAGTGTGGGTGTGGGCTCTGCCTTGGCAGTGTTTTACAGCTCCTGGGGAGAGGCTTTTCAACTTACTGTCTTAGAGAAACTGAGATAAACTGTTCCTCTGTTTCCCCACTCTCTTACGACAGGATTTTCAGTTCAGAGCGCTGAAGAAGGTCCGCATCTTCGATGCTCCTGAAGATCTTCCCAAAGAGCGCTCCAGCCTCCTTGCAGTGTCTAACAAATATGGGCTGGTCTTTGCTGGTGGAGGAACCAGCCTGCAGATCTTTCATACCAGAAATCTCCTCATGCAAAACCAGCCAGGAGAAGATCCTAATAAAATTGGTAAGGTACACTTGTTTCTCTTGGTCTTTGCAGACACAGTTTTGTATGTTTTTTTATGATCTGGAGCTCTTGGCTTCTGGCACAGTCCTTGTCATGCTCTTTTGTGTATTTGAAATTACCATGTTTTCTTGTGTGAGAAGGCAGGAACAATATTTGCTGTAGCTGAAATGAAGGGCAGTTGTTTGGAACATGTCACCAGGATGCTCTGTGCTAGCTCCGGTTGAAGGGTCCTTCAGGTTCGGTCACCTCTGTTCAGTGCCATATGGTCAGCTTGACTCTTCCTACCTGAGAACGTCCCCGTTTCCTTGCAGCCACGTGCTGTCTTAGTAGCCAGTGTGGGAGTGGAGGGATGGAGTTCTTGCAGTGTGTGTCATCCACTCTGACTAAACAACTGTCCTGCAAGAGAGGAAGCTGTTCCCTCACCGAGGTGCAAAATGTTTTTTGTTCTCCTGTTGTCCTTAGTAACTGTACCTTGAAGTACTCACATGCATACAGAAGTAAACCCCAAAATCTGTCTACTCGTTTTTCCTCCAGGTTACTGAGGAAGGAAACTGGAATTTTTTTTTCCTTAGGAGTCTGGCAACTTTTGAGATTTTTATTGGTAGAGGTGAAGGGGTTTGCTTTCACTCAGCTCTTCTATGTGTCAGCCTTCAGAGCTGCTGTTAATAGGACCGATTTTTGCATAAACTTTTTCTAGTGGTATCATTTAACAAGAACAGTTCTTGCTATTTACTTTTGTCCCCTTCATTCTGTCTTCCTTTTCTTCTGTGTTTTAAGTGGAGAATGTTCAAAGTACCTTAGTTCCCATGAAGTTTCCTGTGCAGCACCTGGCTCTAAGCTGTGATAATCTCACGCTGTCTGTCTGCATGATGTCCAGTGAGATCGGCTCCTTCATTGGCTTTTTTGATGTTCGCACGTTCTTAAACCAGGTAAGGCATATGCAAAGTGGGTTCAGTTTGGGGGTTTTGTGATGGTGTTTGTTTTTTTTCAGAATATAGCAGGAGGAGAGGCATAGCTCGAGTGGGATTTTCTGCCTCTCTGTGGGAGATGTCTCATAAAGGAATTGTTCAGTAAACTCAAAATCTGCTGCTTATTTTTATCAGTCATTAATTTATAGGAAGGTCAAAACTGCTTTGAATTATAGCTTTGGGAGAACTTTCTTTTGTGCTCAGCTTTGACTTTGTCTCATGTATTTGTCTTTCCTAAAAGGCAAAACAGCAGAAACGTGCATTTGCTTATCACAAACTGGCCAAGGATTCGGGAAGCGCTGCGCTGGTCAATGACCTGAAGTGGAACCCTGCTAGTCCTGCCATGGTGGCCATCTGCCTGTCCGATGGCAGCATCTCTGTCCTGCAGGTCACGGACTCGGTGAAAGTGTACGCCACGCTGCCTTCCTCGGTGGCTGTTACATCTGGTGAGTGGCAGCCTCGGGTAGCGTACAGGATGCCGGACGCTGAAGAGTAGAAACAGATCGATAGGTGTAAAACGCCAGGCTGTTTGTCCAGGGAGGAGGTTTCTTAAAAAGATTATTCACTAAAAGGAAGGATTTAAGTTCCCTAAGACTCAGAAGAAACATTGCAACGTTAACTACTCTTCCCCAGTTGATTAGAGGAGCTGCATCTTGTAAATTAGTCAAATGTGTCCACCTGTGGTTTGTGCTGTCTCAGGCCTGGCCTATTTCCAAGGGAGCATGTAAATAGGAGTCATTGGTTGGTTTCTGATCTGCACAGTCTTACTTTCTCTGTAACTGGCTGTCTCCCTGTTTATTTACTTGAGATCCATGATTTTTTACGGGGGAAAAAATAATGGATTTAATTTATTTGCCTTGCTTTTGTGGGGCTTTGCAACTCTGCAGTTTCTTAGTGCTAATGAAATTCTCTTTTTTTGCTTAGTGTGTTGGAGCCCAAAGGGAAAACAGCTGGCAGTAGGGAGGCAAAATGGCACCGTGGTGCAATATCTGCCTGTAAGTATTTTGGGCGGTAAAGCCTTATGTCTGCTCACTGGTCTGCAATACTTGCTTTTCTTTGCATCACAAGCTACGGAATTTGGCCACTTGGCGCGTGGTGTGTGCCACACAGAGCTGTGCAAGTGTTTCAGTAATTTCTGCCTTAGTTTAAAGTTTGCACCTGCTTCTGAAAAGTTGTGATTTGAGAGTGGCACATGATGAGTGTTAAAGAGTGGGTGACCAGCTGTCTGGGCTCTCTGCAAAACTTGCAATTAGTTTTGTTTGTTGGCTTTTTCTCTGTGTTTAAGAGTAGTTTTATTTGCAGAATCTGCAGGAGAAGAAGGTAATCCCTTGTCCTCCATTTTATGACTCAGACAATCCTGTTAAAGGTACATCTTATTTTCTTTCTGTTTTTCTTTTTAAAATATTCTTACTCCTTGTGGTTTTTTTTAGTTGTAGCAGCCGTATACTGGTTGCATAATTACAGTGTGATTTTTAAATATTTTGAAAAATATTATCTCTGAGCTGAATAGGGAAATTACCAGTTGGACAGAGTCATTGTCTATTTCTAGAATGTTTTAAATATGCATTTTAAAAGCTATTTTTTGCTCACCAACGCGATAGACAGTACTGTCACAAGTAAGCTCCCCTCTAGCATGAAGATCTTTGGATATAAATCCCATCCTCCTACTTCAGCGAGTTTCATCTCACGAGTTTCATCTCACTATTTTGGCTCTTCAGTAAAATGTCAAAGCAGTAACTTCAGAAAAGCAGAAACGCTTTGTTTGGATATGCCAAAACACCATCCATGTGTGGAAACACTCATGGTATCTCACTTTTCCTATCATCAGGCAGATCAAATATATTCTTCTGGTTTGTGTTTGAAATTTCTAGTTGAAATTCGTGTTCATTAGTCCCTGGTAAGATTGTTGTTCTGCAGACAGGTCATTGAAATTCTTCGTGCTGGTAGCTTAGAAGTCGATGGTTCCGTGTTTATTTGTTTGTCAATTACTCGGGTGTGCTGTGCACAGTTAAAATCAATATACAAGGAAGTATCATCCTGCAGTGTTTGTGGCTGAGGTATTTGTTTCCTTCTCTTTCAGTTCTGGATGTGCTGTGGATTGGCACCTATGTGTTTACTATTGTGTATGCGGCGGCTGATGGGACCCTGGAAACTCCTCCAGAAGTGGTCATAGCCATATTGCCCGTAAGTGCCAGCAAGTCACGACGACACAAGTGTTTGTGGCTTGTTCTCGGCAAGTTGCTTTTATTATTCGTGTTGGCATCGTGTAGAATTCGAGTTTAGTTCTGCTCTAAATTGTGGTTTGAGGGTTGAGGGAACTGAGTGGAGGAAGGAGTATCCATCTGAAAACCAGTCAGGGACCTGTTTGCTGCTGAGATCAAATTATAATGTGAAGACTTCACGCTTCTGAAAATACTTGGGAAGAAAATCTTTCCTGATGTGGAGTCCTGATGTATTTTTTGTGTCTCTGTGTATGTGTATTACAGTGTTTAGATTAAGGAGATTATTAGGCCTGATGATGTGTTCTTATTTAGTATCAGCTTATTCATTGCTGGAGGGATTGTGAGATCTAAATTTCCTGGTAACCTCTTTATTATTCCTTTATATTTTGGAGTAGGGTTTTGGTTTGTTTGCTTTATTCTTCACGTGATGCCTGTTCTCTCTTGAATTATGTCGCAATTATTGGTGTATGCTGGTGTGGTCATGTTCATGGGAGATTACTTGATTTCTGCATCAGAAGGTAAATTATCAGTGTTGGTCCTTTACAGAAAAAGGAAGAGAAGCGACCAGAGAAGTTTGTGAATTTCATGGAGCCTTGCTATGGGAGCTGCACGGAGAGACAGCATCATTATTTCCTCAACTATGTTGAGGAATGGTGAGTGGCAGCAGTTGTGACAAGGTTTTCCCTTTGTTAGGCATGTCTCAGTGGGCAGTGCTTCTCCATATATTGTGTTCTTCCTTTTTTGTAAATGATATAATAACTGAATATGAGAGAATGAAACTTATTTTGAAAATGCTTTGTGAGAGAACAGCTAATTTCTCCTGCATGCGTTATCTCCCTGCCAACATACTCAGTTTGTCTGGTGAGAATTCATACGGTTTCATGCAGATACGTAAGGTTGTTTAAAATCTGTCATAACCATTTCCCTTGAGGCTGTAAGTCACAGACTGGGTAGAGTATGACTTTTTGTCTCA